AAACACTTATAGCACTTCCTAGGTGTCCAGCACTGTCCTGGAATGTTACAAATCATATGTTGACTTATTTAAGCTTCATGTAAGCACAGTGATATAGATAGATACTGTCAGCATGTCTATTTTATAGATGGCAAAACTGAACTATGGAGAGATTAGGTAACCTGTCCAAGGTCACACAGTTAATGATGTTAAAGCCAGGATTTGAACCCAGGCATCTGGCTCTAGGGTCCATGTTCTTGACTGCTGTGTTTGCTCTCCAATCTTTGTTAATGATTTAGTGGGAAATAAGTGAAGAGGTAATATTTGGGGATGGCATTAAACTGAAAGGCTTTTTTAGTGATGGCAATGAACTAGAGTCCCATGTAGAATCCATGTAGTAAAATGGGGGAAGCTCAGACTTTGAAGTCAGATAGTTGTGGGTTCAAACTCACTGCACCATTCGCTAGATGCATTCTTCAGTCTCAACACTTCACTACTTCTGGTGGTATTATACATCTCATCCTTGGTCAGGCCGTGGTCTCATGGTGAGTGGAGTATACTTCCAGGCCCCCCAACTCTGAGATTGGCCATGTGACTTGCTTAGCATGGGGAGTGCATGCCGTGGGTGGCCATTGTGTTCCTTGTGAATGCCCCAGTTTGGGTGGAGTAGAGTCACCCCAGCTAGGCTGCAGACAGATGAGTAAGATATAAATACTGTTGTGCGACTCACTCAGACTTTGTGCTTGCTTGTCTCTTTTCCCAAGTGTAAGGGAGGACAAGTCTTATTTTGTCAACTGTAAGCAGTGAGATGACAACATCCTCTTAGTGAAGCTGTGGGAACTTAATGAGATAATCGTGTACATGAATGTTATTGAAGTAAAACTAACAGTTTCTAAAACTCACAGTTCGACTTAAAGAATTGGTAATAGGGGCGCCTGGGTGGCGCAGTCGGTTAAGCGTCCGACTTCAGCCAGGTCACGATCTCGCGGTCCGGTCCGTGAGTTTGAGCCCCGCGTCAGGCGCTGGGCTGATGGCTCAGAGCCTGGAGCCTGTTTCTGTTTCTGTGTCTCCCTCTCTCTCTGCCCCTCCCCCGTTCATGCTCTGTCTCTCTCTGTCCCAAAAATAAATAAACGTTGAAAAAAAAATTAAAAAAAAAAAAAAAGAATTGGTAATAAAGTTAGGATCAATATCAAAATTTTTAACGTTTAAAAAAGGAAGCATGGAATTAGAACAAGATATTCCTTCTGTTGGTATAATATTTAAATAAATAATCCTTACCAAAGGCTGGTTAAGACCTATTTTCAAAATATCTATGTAGTCACAAATCATTCTTACCTATGCGTTAATGTTGGCTTCTTAACATATGTTTTTTTTTTTGTTTTTAAAAATAATGAATTACTTTTCTTTTTAAATAGTGTTTTGCTTGCCAGCTCAATCTAACCATCCTGCCTACTAAATTCACAGTATATATTTTTCACCCGGTGTATATTTCACTGGCAATAGCATCATTTAGGTATATGCAACAATTTCTATGTTTAGATTAGTTAAAACTCCCAAACATTGACATTACGTAGAAAATGTTTCCAAAGTACAGCATATGCATATGTCTAATGTAGAGTTCAACTGTAATTTAATAATTTAGAAGGGATAAAAAAAGGGAAGAGATAGATTGTTTCGATTTGCTTGGCTTGCATAAGCTAATACAACCTCAAGCTTTCTTACAATGTTTGTATAGTATACTTCTACATATTCAAAAAATGAGATCTCCAGCCAAGTAGAGAGAATGTGGAATCCTGTATCTTTTTACAATGAATCTTGTGGGATATTTAAAAACAGATGTATAGGGAAGATAACATGTAGAACTGTTACTATTTCCTGCACTGATATTAATGGACAAAATCCAAGGATAATTCTTCCATTCTGGGTTAATTATAAAATGCTGATGAGGCTTTCATGTCATAATTAGCATGCTTTAGCTTATTTTATCTCATATCTCTGGGTCAAAATCTGGTTCATTGACTTTTTTTTTTTTTCAGTGAGTTAGCCACAAATTTAAATGGTCTGTAATTATAATGGTGTTTGTTATTGGCCATCTAGTCTATAAACAAACCATGTGTCATACAGCAAGGTGGCAGATTGCCAGCATATCAGTGGTTAGTGATGTGCTGATAAGATGGCTCTCTGGGGGGAAAATAGCTCCAATGTAAAGTGTTTGCCAATGTCTGTGGTGTAAATATTCCCACTGTGGCTGATTTCTGGCTACCAATCATATAATACCAAGTTCTCAAAATTCCTAAATATATAATAATAAACTTTTGCAAGACAGTCTGAGCCAGTACCAGCCAGTACATCACTGAACAGTTAATACTTATAGACACTGGATTCTTATGTTGGAATAGTGATACTTTTAAATTCTCCTGTAATGCCTTCATTCAACTATAACTCATCCACTAAGTGAGGCCATTAAGGGTGCCTTAATTCTAGTAATTTAAGTCATAGACTACTTTGAGGAGCTAACCAGAGCTATAAACCTTCTTCACAAAAAAAAGTACACACTAAGAATTATGAATACAATTTCAGAGGCTTCTGGGACTTCTGACACTTGTTCATGGGTCTTTATGGACTAGACAATTTGGCAAGCAACGTTCTGAAGGTCATTGCTTTAGTTCACTAAGTTTGTGAATTACTAGAGAGCTCAAAAGTCACTGTTGAATTACAAAAGAGTATAATTACCAGCATTTTATTAATCATGTTTGCTGTGTGGCCTCTTTCATTATTGCAAAATGCAGAGATCATGAGGAATTCACAAGGAGATGATGAAGTCAACTATTGAGTAGCATTGAACAATTTGGCTTTAGTTTTTCCCTTTGTTCTACTAACTGTGTGTGAACCATTATATGAGCTAACTCTAAGACTTGTGACATTTGAATTTTTGTTTTGAAATATAAATTTCCTTTATGTATATGGATGCATGTGTGCATGTATATGTATATAAACAAAATCTCAACACTCCCCCCCCCCCATTTAATGCTAGGCTTAATTAAATCTATTGCTCCTGAAAACAAAAAAGAGATCAAAGCTGTAATCAAGCAACAAAATTACTAGCTTCAATTTTAGTGTTGTTTCTTTTTCTATCCATCTACCTACACCAGCAGCATATTTAGTCCTGGTCACTGGGAGTTGATGTTAAAGATGATGACTTTACTAGATCTTCATTTGAGAAGGTCTCTAAAAGATGAGAAGGAAATTCATTTCTCTTCCATTTCTGGAGTTTTGCTTTGCTGAGTCTTTTCAACTTAATCCCCAAATGACCCAAGGATTCTGCTCACCAACATAAACCATCACTGGAGAATTCTGATTCATTAAAGTTGGCTGTTAATTAGCAAAGAGATTTTTAAAAATATATATTGAATCACTTTGAAGATGATTGTTCAGTTAGGAAATAATGATGTCAGAGACCAATAACAGGATGGTTTATCAGTAGGATGGTTCATTCAATTTAGAGAAAATTCAGAGACTAAAAGCTGGAACTTGTATGTTTCGGCATCAGTAAGAATCTGGGGTTGGGAAGAACCTTCTGGTACTGTGGGCACAGCAAGGCATACTGTTACAATCACAACTGGTTAAACAGTGAACTGAAAGATATCCCGGTCAGAAACAGAATTTTAGTCTTTGGCTCTTAATGTGGTTTCATCTGGAGCTGTTCTTTGGCTCAGCACACTGGAATGTGAGTTCAACTAACTCACCACATATTTATTGAACCTCTACCATTGTGACAGATATACTACCAGGATCCCAGCAACAGCAAAAATGAACACAAGATACTTCACGCTTTTGAAAAATTTACATTCTGACAAAACAAGGATATAAATCCCTGAAATACGAACCAGAGTGAGGAAAAAGCTTAAGAGAGAGATTGACAAGTCAGATACCACATCTATTTGAATAAATCAAGCAGGGTTTTATGGAGGTGACACACCGAGATGGACATTGAAGGATGGGTAGGACAGCAACAGATGGAAACTAGAGACAAAGAGGGAATTTTATAAGCAAATATGTGCAGCTGGAATAACCAGGGCATATTTTCATAAGAAAAGCAAGTATTCTATTTTGAATAGAATATACATTACATGTGATTATATAATAGAAGAGGAGTCTGGGGGCGCCTGGGTGGCGCAGTCGGTTAAGCGTCCGACTTCAGCCAGGTCACGATCTCGCGGTCTGTGAGTTCGAGCCCCGCGTCGGGCTCTGGGCTGATGGCTCAGAGCCTGGAGCCTGTTTCCAATTCTGTGTCTCCCTCTCTCTCTGCCCCTCCCCCGTTCACGCTCTGTCTCTCTCTGTCCCCAAAAAAATAAATAAACGTTGAAAAAAAAATTAAAAAAAAAAAAAAGAAGAGGAGTCTGGAAGGTTGATTTTTCTTATATGTGCAAAGAGTGTTATATAGGTAATGAAGGATTTAGTCAGCTAAAGTCATAGGATTGAGACTAGTAGTTACTATATGATTGTTTTTTTTTCCCCTAGATAGTAGACCATACCTCTATGTATGGAGTAAGACTTCAGAAATCCATGTCTAGACAAAACTATGAAAACAACTAAGCCTGTGTTTGGTATAGTTTATGTCTCTTTTGACCCTCCACCATGGCCTTCTCCATCTTCCCATTCTTTTCTAAGTAGAACTTATATCTGATCTGATTCCTGGTGAGGAATGACTGAGAATGATGTGCGGATTAGGAAAGTGGGAATAAATAGTTCTAAGGAGCATCCCCATATTATCAGGAGGATTCTTCAAGTAAGAGGCTTCAAAATTCTAATGTATCATATTAAAAAGGCCAAATATGAGGCAGTAGGATAAAAAGTTTGCTGTGGAAGAACACTGGTATGGTTCCCTTGAGTCATATAAAGTAACATACCATCTACATGTCTTCCTTTTATATCTCACAGGGGCCATTGGTTGTGAGAGTTAGAGCCTGACTCAGAGTATGGATGACTCAGGACAAACTGTTTCCGAAAGTGAAAATCACTCAAAGTATAGGTGTCATTCTTTACTGGTCATGATTTTTTTTTTCTTTCCATGAACTAGTGAAGGAGCATGAGGCAGTTAGGATGGTGGAAAGGAAGCTAAAACTCAGAAGGTTCTGGGTTTTAGATACAGATTTGGTAGCAATTTGTTTAAACACACACACACACACACACACACAATTAGAAGTGGGTATATAAGTTGTAAGACTCATTTTACCTCCCTACTATCATGTAAGAAAGCATAAATTTTACAGGGTGTCCCTTCCTGTAGTATGGTGGCATAAAGGAATGTCAACTCTTTGAGTGTCCCTTTCATGGTGCCTGTCCACTACAGAGGGCTGTAGGGGGGTGCGAGCTGCTGACGGTTAACTGACAAGGGAACTGGGGACCTGCATCTTCAGTCAGCTCCACAAGGTGGCATTCTGTCAGGAAGATGTTCCGCTGGGCAGGTGGCCCCTGTTGGTGGTGCTGAGAGTGCCCCTGTTTGCAGGGAGAGATCACATTCCAGAATGCTGCCCGGAAGCGGCGCGAGAGTAGGTTATAGATAATGGGGTTGACGGCTGAGCTCAGGTAGAAGAAGACACCTGGAACACAGGAGATTAAAAAAGAGACATGTTGAGGAGTGAGAGGCATGGTAGAATGAAGCATAGCTATTTAACAAAGGCCTAGCATACCTGTGATTGCCTCTTTTGGAAGTAATAACACATACAAGACTCTAATTGAGAATACAAAATGTTCTGAACAGATCTACCACCTGTGTGTTTAGGAATCAAACACAGAAAGATTAAAGAGTCTTGGAAAAATTTAGGCCGGCATGGGATCTCTCTGAGATGCTTGGCAAATTCCTTTGATCCCCACTTGTTTAATTAAAGAACATGCTCTGATAGCATTAACGAGAGAGATGCTTAAGTATCAGAGGAAAGAGAGATGTTTTTATCTCATTGGAGCTTTGCTTAAATCTATAATTTGAAACTGCAAGTAATGGAGGAATGGTAAATCAGTTAAGTCATAGTCCCTGCTGAGATATCTTATAATACTAACTATCTCTTCAAAGAAATATTCCCCAATGCACTTTTCCTACCTAGTCTTTTCCCTTGATGGCTCCTCCCACCTTACTTTTAACTTTATTAATTGTATTTTTACATTTATTTTTCTCCACCAAATGCCTTGCACACTGACACTTTCCTGTTTGGCACACATGTTTCTTTTATTTCTATGTCTATTTTATTCCCCAAGACCCAAGATGAGCCTAAGGTTGAGAATCAGAGAACTTTGTTTCTGATCTTACTTAGCCTTGCTCATTCTGTGACTTTAGACGGAAGTGGTACTTCTTTTCTCTGTAAAATGGGAATAGTAATACCACTCTAACCCACCTCCCTGAATTACTGTGAGGATAAAGTTGAGACGCTATCCACAGAGGGATTGAGAATGGCTAAGAATGTAAAAAAAGTGATAGGTACTGTCATTAACATGTTCGTTGTTGTCCTCATTTATATAGTTCAGGACACACAGAGTGCCATACACCCTATGCACAGAACTGGTCAGGGAGGAATATAGAAGGAGAATATTGCTATGGGCTGTTAATTCATTCAATAAGTAAATATGATTGAATCCTTATTCTCTGCCAGAAACTTTGAGGCATATTGGTAGGCAGTGGATTTAGACTTTGGTCTCCAAGGACATGGAATAGTATTATAGAGGCAAGACCTATGCCTAACTTCAACAGTAAACAAAAGAACTCTACCAAACTATATCTGTTTATATATATATCATATATATAGATATATATGATATATCTATATGAGATATATCTATATCTATATCTATATCTATATCTATATCTATATCTATATCTATATCTATATATATCTCATATATATATGACTGACAGTCATCCTATGGAAATTCACATAATGGCATAAACACAAGGACCATGATGGTCATGAAGGATTTAATGGGGTGCTTAAATGTTGCCTACCCTGAATTGGGCAGGAGATAACTGGGGAAGAGATAAGAGAGTACTTCAGGTCGAAGCTAAATGTGCAGAGGCAGGAATGGTTATATTGTGCAGGAATAATGCAGACACGCACAACCCTCTAATTAACCAGTTTGACAAGTATATGATTTATGAATGGAAATACATAACTTGAGGATCAAAAGGCAAGTTGGGGGCATTTTTTTGTAGCATTTAGAAGGTTTAGACTTCATCTGGTTGGCAATGTGGGGGAAGAGAGATGATTTTTAACTGGAAAATATTAATATAAATGTTGTAACTTGAAAATCTTAAAATGGTTGTCTTGATGCATCTGGAGATGTAGAGTCAACTAGTTGTCTCATGTGATCTTGTAGTGTTTTCCAATGTATTTAATCACTTTCTTTTTTCGCAGCTTAACCACAAAGATAAGCTAAGAGCTATAAATATTTTTGAGATTTCACCCAGAATTAGTAATTAATTTAACATGGAGGAATATACCCATGTCAAGGTATAAACCATAACACAAGGCTTCCTGAGTACAAAAGAAAGGATGATTGAATATAGATAACATACATGGCACTCAATATACCTAGGAACACTGTTGTTTTTGCTTTATGCACACCTGCAACTTAACGTGCACAAGTTGCTTTTATCTGTTTTTTTCTGGTGAGGTCTTTGATGATCTAATGTGCCCATAGAAGCAGCCAGTGACTAGCCAAGGTAGAGGGACAATGTGGTCTGCACGTAAGTCTAACAGTCACCTTTGCTGAGAAAGAGGGATACAGGTGACCATTCTCTGCTCCATTTTGGGAGAAAGAATCTTGAACTTGAAGTTGGACAACTTGGGCTGGAACACTGTTTTTACTATTTGCCAACCAAGTGACTTTGGGCAAGACATTTCTTTCTTGTGGAACTGTTCTTTCAGCTGTAAAAGGTGATGATAATATCTACTTACTAAGCTTTTGTGATGACTATAGAAAGATATATAGCATTGTGCAGCTTAAAAAGGCTCTTTAATAGCTATTATTTCATTTACTTCTTACCAACAGCGCATGGTTTGTATAGGGCAGGCATTATTGCCATTTTCCAGTTGAGGAAACTATGGCATGAAGGAATCCACATTCTTCAGATCACACAGGATATTAATAATGGAAATGAAGTGCAAATCCAGGTCCTCTGACTTAATGATCTTTCCATTGTTATTTCCACCCTATTCCATGGTATCCTTAACAAGCAACATTAAAGTAGCCTAAAAACAGATCCTGATGCCTCATGAATGCCCTTTGGTTAGTTTTCATGAGGATTTAATACTTGCTGAAGACAATATGAGATTTTAGGGACATCGATATTTAATAAAAACCAATTCAGTTATGTGGGCTTTGGATGCAAAACAAAGGAATCACTTCTTAGACCATTTTCCTGCTGTAATCACCAGGCTTAGAGTTGAGGTCTTCAATAAAGTAGGCTCTACAATAGTGATTTGGTATATTTCTTTTGGATAAGTAACATGCCTAATCAATACATGAATAAAAAATCAAATGTGTTCTTTATTGTATGGTGGGGTCCGCATAATGATTAGTATATATAAATAGAACCTAAGTGAGATTAAAAAGTAGATACTTGTGATATAACCAAACCAGCCAAAATTTTACCTGACACCACATGGATGAGATTGAACACAGCAGCCAGGGATTCAGTCCACTCCTCCACAAAGCTGAAGAAGAGCCGATCAATGTGGAATGGGGCCCAACAGACAGCAAACACTAAGACCAAGACAACTGGAAAAGGATGATGAATGAAAGAGCAAAGGACAGTCAAGGCAAGGATAGGTATATAATGCCCACTCTGAATCCAGCCATTCCTTCTAGCATTTCCCCTCCACCATCTTTTTAATCATTTAATCATCTAGATCCTAAAGAACCTCTACATAGAACACTTACACATGAGAGTGAATTGTATAGGATTTAGGGTCAGTTTCCGTATGATTGTATAAGATTTCTTGTACAATATGAGTTTACTTTAGAACGCTTAAAATAGTACTGACTTTGTTCAAAGCTGAAAACATTCTATTGTGGAAAATATGTTGCAAGAAGGTTGCTGGTACCACATAAATGGGTTATATGAATAAAATGATTGGGTTCAAGCAATTGGTGTTCTTTTAAGTCCTAGATTAATAACAAACTATTGATACAGTATATAGTATAAATGTTGTATGAATTTATCTTTTTACTCTAGAAATAATTAGAAACTTATGCAAATTCAGTCATTCTGTAAGGGGTGGGAGGGACATAAAGAAAGAAAAATCATGAGCGTTATATTGCTTTACAAGCATCTTTTGATTGAGGTGGAGATGTGTCTATTATAACTTTTCTATGGTACAGATTGCCTCACAATTTTTTTTTGTTTTTACTTTTTGTTTTTATAAAATTACAGATTCACAGAAATACACTATTGCCCAGGGTTTTTTTTTTGTTTTTGTTTTTGTTTTTGTTTTTTTAATTTTCAGCTCCTAAGACAGAGATTAGTGCTACCATATTTTCTCTTTGGGGCATTTAATCTTCACCAATATAAACATGTATGTTTTTTTGTTTTCTCTTCTGAAGTTGTAAAATACTTTTATTTCTCAAGACATGATGCTTGAGATTTCCCTCAGGAAAGTCTTGTAGGGACTAGCGGGGAGATGGGAATATAGATGAAACAAGATTAGTTGTGGGTAATATTTAAAGCTGGGTGATGGGTACATGGGTGATCATTTTACAATTCTCTGAATTTGTGAGTGCATTTGAAGTTTCCACGGTAAACGGTGTGGTATGCCTGTGTGGTGTAGTTTCAAGAATATCTGAATGTTTCTTTTGAGTTTACCAACCCCCCCTCCGCTGCCCTTCTACCAGAAAAAGTCCCTAATCTGCTCACTACTGCCTACAAATCCCTTTAGTTAAAAATTTAATTACTGTTAACATGGAACACTCCAACCCCAAAGGCATATACTTTACTGTATATTTTATCACAGTGACTTTAATGTGCATACACTTCAAATCTTTTTGCGAGAGCAGATTATGATCAAGGAGGAAGGGGAGAGAGAGATTATAAAGACATGAGATTTCTTAATAGGGAAAGTCAGGTGCCAACAGGGGCTAAGCGATTTCTAAGATGATGACTACTAGAATTGAAAAGACAGGCTTTAGTGACTTCACAGGATTTTTGCTCATAAACACCACATAGTTAGAGTAAGTGTTTTATATACCTATTAGCCTGAAGGATATGTTTCTTTCAAATCTTTGGTTTTGTCTTGGGAAGTTTATTATAAATCTCCTTTCCTCCTTTCTCATCAATATTTCTCATATGCTAGTGCAGGACTATATATATATATCTTAATATTTACTTATTTTTGAGAGTGCGGGAGGGGCAGAGAATAAGGGAGACAGATAATCCCAAGCAGGCTCCAGCCGTCAGTACAGAGCCTGAGCCCAACGACAGATCTCACGAACCCTGAGATCATGACCTGAGCAGAAACCAATAGTTGATGCTTAACTGACTGAACTGAGCCACCCAGGCACTCCAGGACCACATATTTTTATAGCACTCTTTTGGGAGAGTGTAGAGCAGTGCCCGGATTTTTAAAAACACCTTATCTATACAAAAGAGTGTATTGTTTTATATAAAATCATATGATGTTATAGGTGGTATGACTGCTTACAGTTACTCTTGGCCACATGTTATTAATCTGGAATTAAAAGATCCTAGGGAGTCCAAGGATGGGTGTCAACAGGTTCGTGATCCCCTGAAAAGGATTATACAATGTTTGTGTATGTGTATTTGTACATTTTCTGAGGGGAGAGTTCACAGCTTTCATTGTATTTAAAAAAATTAAAAAAGCAACTCATAACACAAAATAGGTTAAAAATAACCTGCTCAGTTTAGAGAGGAAAAGAAATGCTCAAAATCTCAGAGAGTGAGATTTGCCAAATACCTCAGAGAGTATTACAATGACACAATTCAGGGCATTGTTTGAGGGTTAAAAAGTGAAATAGAAACAAAACAGAAAGGTCCTAGGAGGCTGAGAAAACCAAGGAAGACCAGACCTCAACATCTTGTTTCAGAATTTTGATTCTGACCCCAGCAACGCTTTCTCAGTACCAAATGCAACTCCTTTGCTTTCACAAACAAACAAACCCCAAACAAAATGCAGGACTCACATAGCATCTTGGTGACTGATTTTCTGGCAGGTCTTTGAATATTTGCAGTCATTTCATCTGCCCCAAGCAGTTGGTCCTTCTTTAGCTGCAAGGGAAGTGGAAAAGTTGCTAAGGGAGGTAAACATTTTTTTCCTCCTGTTAAGATCTGAGAAATGTAGCTCTAACACTCATTTTGCAGACAAAAAACTGGGACACAAAGAAATGTAAGAATTTGTCAAATGTTTAACAATAAGTTGGAGGTGGAGTTGGATCCAAGTCACCTAAATCAACAGGATCGAGGGTTGTGGCCACGTTGCAATGCAACCATTTATCATACGCTATTCTGTAGAACCCTGGTTATATAGTATGTTAACGGGTATTCTATAAAAAATGTGAAATTCTAAAGTAAAAAAAAGTTAGGTAGGCAATTCATTCATTCATTCATTCATTCAATAATAATCAGATATCTTTGAGAATGGAATCCCTCTGCTATAGGGTAGGTAGGCAGTAAAAAACAAAAACAGATATTGTTTCTGCTTCATAAATTTTATAGTCTTTATTGTGAGTCTTCTCAGTGTCTTTAAGGTGCTGATGGACATTATGAACATTTTCCTGGGGGTTCATGTATCACCCTTCCCTCATCCCCACCTTCCACACCCCACATCTCCAACCCCAACCTCAAAGGAGATAGTGCTTCTTTGACTAAACAATTTCCCCCCACCCAACCCTTTTCAGTGGAATACTTACTATATCTTAAGAAGCGCAATCTGGGAAATTCTATGTTAATAATGTTACTGATAAGACTGCACATGTTTCTGAATTTAGATGTGGAATATACTCATCCTGTTGCAAGAGGTGGTGATCCTTGAAGTCTCTAAAAATGTCAAATATTAACACCACTGTACATGCAATTTTTCCCGCCCTGTTCAAGTCCCATCTACTTCTACAAGACTCTGGTGGTCCTGCAGCCCATTATCCTCTCCTTCCTCTCAACTCCCTTAGCACTGAAGATCTGCATCGTTTACCTAGTTGTGGAATTTTCTTCTTTTCAACTTACATATTTTTAGTTGGTGGGGTTATACAATTATAAAGAAACCATAAAGAAAGCTTTAAGGACTCATGACAAACTACTATCAAGTATCTACAAGACAGTACAGTATGTGTTTGTGCTTGACTCTCTAGCACTTATTCTCTTCTTTTCCTACCAATGGTACCATGACTTTCCTTTAGGAAATTAACGCTTTCTCCATTCCTAGGCATTCGTTAATTTGGATGGCAATGATCCCATCTCCAGCTCCAGGTTCAGACCCTAAATAATTTAGCTCCTTTCCATCAGTCACAGTGATTAGATGATTGGAATCAATGGGGTTTCAGATTCTTGCTTGTACTTCTAGGAATTGAAGCTTTATTTCTCTCTTATTGGGACCCCTTCTTGTTCTCTGCATGGAATTCTGGAATACAACAGCTATTTTTTTTTTTTCCACCACAAGGAAAGTGCTGGGAGCCACGAATGACCTGTTGTGTGTATTTTGAGGTTGAAATCAACCTTATGGAAAGAAGAGCAAAGAAATAGAAATAAAGCTAGGTCTTTGAGAATATTGTGTGTTTTACAGAATTAAGCTTCATCAAAAGCCAGCTCCACCTCTTGATTTATCAGGTCTATACTGCCCTTCATATTTTGCCAGATTGAGTTGGGGTTCCCTCATTAGCAATGTAGAAAGTTCTGACACACTTATCAGGGCCATCAGGTGGAAGGAACATTCAACTTATTCTATATAGTCTTGGGTAGATTAGGATCAGATTGTTGAATTATAAGAAAATGTATTCCAGTTCAAGATAAAAAAGAGTTTGGTGTGGGTATGTGCAACAGTAGAACAGACTGCTCTTAGAATCAGTGACCTTCCTGAGCTGGATGGCATTTTTATAGAACGCTTTAGAGAAGGTATTTAAAATTAAATAAGAGTTGGGGGCACCGGGGTGGCTCAGTCAGTTAAGCGTCCGACTTTGGCTCAGGTCATGATCTTGCCATCTGTGAGTTCAAGCCCTGAATTGCACTCTGTGATGATAGCTAAGAGCCTGGAGCCTGCTTTGGATTCTATGTCTTCCTCTCTTTGCCCCTGCCCCACTTGCGCGCGCTCTCTCTCTCAAAAAATAAATACACATTAAAAAATAATTTTAAATTAAACAAGACTTGGAAGAGAGGGCCATTAAAAGTTGCCTACAGAGTTAAACAAAGGAGTATCCTGTCTCTCTGACAAACATGTTAGCTCCTAGAAGTCAGGTAGCTCTCAGGACCACACCAGCCCTGAAGCATCACTTGGATAATTAACCAACCTGACCAATCTGTCTCTGAATATACTGGTGCTCTCTACGTACACCCGTGTCTTTACAAAGTAAGGGACTAAGGAGTCTGTGAGATTTAACCCTTCCAAGGTCATCTAGAACTTGGAAACAAGAAAGAAAAATATTATGCAGTTATTAGGAATGGACAGGAGGAAACTGACAATAATGTTATTAATGTAATAGTAAAACAAAATAATGCAGGTGTAGTGCTCATCTCAGTTCCTGGCACATGCTATTCAATAAGTATATATTGTCATTCTGGTTACTGTCCTCAGTTTACTCAAAAGACATAATAAAAACTGAATTTTGGTGAAACAGGGTTATTTATTCATATCTGTGGGGTCACTCATGTGGATTACTGAGTCCCTTCCAGAAATTCTCTCTCTCATGGCAACTGTCACCCACAAGCAGTACTTGTGTTGAGACAAAGAAGCAAACAGATGCACTGAGACAAAAACCTTATTGTTTAAGAGCAATAAATCAAACTGCACATCTTACTAACTCATCACTTAAATCTGCTAAAGGTTCTAATTATTTCCTAGTATTTTAATCTTATTTTTAAAGTTTATTTATTTTTGAGAGAAAGAGTGAGAGCTCAAGGGCAGGGGAGGGGCAGAGAGAGAGGGAGAGAGATAGAGTCCCAAGTAGGCTCTGCACTGTCAGCACGGAGCCTGATATGGGGCTTGAACCCACGAACCATGAGATCATGACCTGAACCAAAAGCAAGAGTCGGATGTCTAACCGACTGAGTCACCCAGGCACCCCCCATGCCATTTTTTAAATTTTGTCATTATTACAAGAGAGTCATTCCATAATTTGATTTCAGTCCAAAATTAAGAATAAACAACAACTATTGAGATCTATTAGTCCCTTCTTTGGGTGGGTTTAAAAGTTCTCATTGGTAATTTCTCTACTTAAAGTAATAGTTTCCTTAAATCAAACATAAAGCAAACAGTTCATACAGTTCTTTTATGAACAGGCTTCCTGTACAGTGTAGTTTGCAACGAAAAGAAAATTATATTAATAATTTCTTACTTTTCAGCTCTCATAGGTTTTAGTGATACAACTAACCAACTAGGGGGAAGAGTGAAAACTGAATATTTATGCATCTTATACATTGTTTCAGTGGAATTTGAAGGAGGCGGTATAGTAGAATAGAATGCACAATTTGTCTGGCTAATATTAACTACTGCTTTATGTTTGAATTATTTTATTTCCCTTCAGATGTTTAGCAAAAGTAGCTATTCATCCCTTAAGTATTCTCCCCACCCCTGCACTTCTAAAAGTCAAGATACAAAAAGAGGAGTGAAAAATTGTGGTTACTCTACAGGAAGTTCAGAGGCCTTCCTCTCCACTCACTTTAGCTGTGTGAGATAAAAGGTGAAGGGGAGGGCCATGTGGGGGATTCAGGTTGATCCACCACATTTATATATATATAATAATAATATATATTTATATATATGTATAAATATATGTATATATAATATATAAATATATTATATATAATATATAATAATATATATAATATATAATTATATATTATATATATATTATATTATATATATAATACATATATATAATATAATATATATATATAAATTCCACCACGTTTATATAGTTTGTGGAGACTAAGCTCCAGAATACCAAGAGATACTCCTAGCTTTTGTGTAAATATTTCCACAATCTGAACAAGATCTGTTTATTAAAAAAAAAAAATAGTGCAACTCTGTTTGGCATGGCTGGATTCTGCTACAATTCATAATATATCCTCTTCAATTCAAGTGTTAATGTTGCCCGCAGGAGTATAAGTACCAGGTGAGAGACCCAAAAGAGTTTCCCTCCCAGATGGGAAGAAACTTGCCTTGGGGTTGTCTACTTTCCATCTCTAACAGGTTTGAGCCTTGGAGAGCAGCTCAGTGGGTACTTGTATCCTGGAATGATGCAGCAGCACACATATGGCTCCCCTCTTTCTTCCTTGGTCCTGGGATTCCATCAAAGGGAAATCACCAGGAACCATGACCACGTACACAGGGACCAGGTGCAGCTAGAGTCAGGGAGAGTTTTCCTGAGGAAGTGTGGGTGAAGTAGGATTTAAAATATGAGTTAGAATTAGCAAAGCAAAAGGGATTGTGATTGTCAACAGTAGCAACATTTTGGGCAATGATGCAGCAAAGGGTACAGCCTGTGCAAAGGCCCCGAACGCCATAGTCTAGGGCCTATTTCTCCTAACTCCGTCTACAGATCTTTAATTCCTCTAGAAGTGATATTCTAAGTCGAGAGTTTTTCCCTGGTGTCCTCTGGGTAACAGCTCATCCTTCCTGAGAATAGGAATGGTCGAAGTTTCACTATACACACAAAGCAAACTAGATAGTTTCTAAGCTGTCATCTGAACTGTCACTTAGCTCCTGATACAAGGTAGCCTTAAGTTCATTACAGCAAAACAAAATGAAACACAAAGTAATTGGTTGGGGTGAAGGATATGTGTTTCCTACTCAAAGTTAAATACTTCTCCCAAATTAACCCAAGATAAATGATTGGTGTTGGATGAGATGGTATTGATAAGTTTGGGGTAGAGATTTCTCACAGGGCTCATGATATGTGGAATGATACAGAAATCCTTTTCCCCCAGTGATACACACACATTCCCCCAGTGATACACACACATTCTAAAGCTAGTCTGGGGTGACATGTATCTCTGGGAATAGAGGAGCCATCCCTCTAAGAGGAGAATGACAAAACTCCCTGCCTGATTAAATTTACTCCTGTGTCTGGACATCTGTGGTACTTAGAATTTGTTCTTCTTAGTTGGATTCTGCCACTCATCTTAGGCACAGCATGTATTTAAAAGGACCACTTGTGGGGCAGTCATTTCTGATATTCACCTTTCTCAAAGATGCACTGAGATGGGAGTACCTTGACTGTCACAGAATACATGGTGGCAGAGTCATCTTGAAACATATGATGTGAATGTGATGTTTGCTTTGTTTTCCCTTCATTATTAATTCTCGTTGTTCCTGCTCATGGATTTTTCTTTCTCATTTTTTTTTTTTTAGGTTATTACAGACTGCCAGAGCTATTGGGAGCCTTAGATATGATCTAATGTGACCTTTTCATTTTATAAATGTGAAAACTAACTCCAGGAGAGAGTTGTGTGGCTTGGCTAAAAGCATATTTTATGTGAGCTTCAGATCTGGGAATCTAAGTAGTCCTAAGACTGTTTACAAAACACAAGCTGCCTCCTTAAATGGGCATAAAACCGTCACAGTTAGATTTCATCTCTATGAATTTGAATGCAGAATGTACCAGGAGAGGAATTATATAGACTCACTACTACCCTCACCAAAAGTAGTTTCTCTCAGCTATTTTAGATTAAAAAAAAAAAAAAAAAAACCAACTCATGAGTATCATATCACCATGAGTATAGGAAAGGAACCTTCTCTAATTATAAGATACGTTGGAAACAAAGTGATAGTGTTTTATTAGTTCTGGCTATCACTTATCCCCACTTTCTTCTACTCTATCTTATGTGCTCTGTTCACTTCTTTGTCCCTCAGTTTCCATCTGATCAAGAGAAATCCAAGTTGGTCCCACTCAAGCCATATATATACATATATATATATATATATATATATATATATATATATATTGCATTTTAACCTGATATTTCAACCAAAGGGTCAAAGCAACCATAAGGAACAGTCTCACTTTAAAACTATATATCTGTCCTGGAGTAGAAGATAGAGATAGTTTATGTTATACACAGACCAAATTGGTACAGAGGAAAATCTCAGTGCAGGCGGTAGATGGGGACAGGAGACAACAGGATGTGGAGCAGTTTCTCCTGTGGTAGCCACTTTGTGCTGTTTAAAATGAGGCTCCCCATCAGGCCTACTGAATCAGGATTTCCCAGGGGTAAGGGCCTGCGCTTTGATACCCATAGTAAAATTTCTAGGAACTCCTAGATTTGAAAGCCACAGGCATAGAGGGAAGAATAATGGTAGATGAGTTGAAGGAAATGGTTTATAGTTGTGGTTAGTATTTGCCTGATTTGGGGCCGGTCCTTTAACTTCTGTTTGCCCTCTGAGCTCATTCTGTTTTCCTCTCTGCTTCCTTCCAATTCTGGACTTCTCCAAGTCTAAGTTCTTTTCTCTGAACTTTGAGTCAATGAGAGAAGAAGAGATACCACCCTAAGCCAGCGAGCTCGGATACTCACTTTGAGCCCCATGAGGTAGTAGAGGACACTGATGACAGTCATGGGGAGGATGTAGAAGAGGAAAGAGGTAACCTGGATGACGAAATTGTAGATCCATATGGGCTTGATGACCGCACAGGTGGCGGAGCCCGGGACCAAGGACCCATTGGGGAAGTAGTGCAGCTTGATGCCGTGAACGCTGGTGTTGGGCAGAGAGGAGAGGGCAGAGAAGCCCCAGACGAGGCCAAGGATCCTGAGAGCCCGCCGCCGGGTGCTCCTCAGTTTGGCCCGGAACGGGTAGAGGACGGCCACGTAGCGTTCCACGCTGACCGTGGTGACGCTGAGGACGGAGGCAAAGCACACCGTCTCAAAGAGGGCCGTCTTGAAGTAGCAGCCCACCAGCCCAAACAGGAAGGGGTAGTTGCGCCACATCTCGTAGACTTCCAGGGGCATCCCAAGGAGCAGGACCAGGAGGTCAGAGACGGCCAAGCTGAACAGGTAGTAGTTGGTGGGCGTCTTCATAGCCTGGTGCCGAAGAATCACCAGGCACACCAGGAAATTGCCGACGACTCCCGCGACGAAAATCAGCGCGTACACTGCAGTCACTGGGAAGAAGAAGTGGCTGCGTGGAGGCCCGTAGAGGAAGGCCAGGTAGTCCTCGGTGCTGTTCAGGTATTTCTGGGATGGATCTGCCAGTTCCTGCTGGTGGATCCAGGAAACGTTCTTGTGTTTTTCCATTACTGGTTTTAAACTGCAAGACCTGAGCCTCCTCTGATAGAGGCTTCTGTCCCAGGCTGAGCCAGAAAAGAAAGAGAAAGCAGGCAGGAAAGCACAGACTCAGGGGGGGCGGGAAAGAGGCTGGGGAAGCCTGAGTACTTCAGAAAGGCTGGGCTGCTCAGACCCGGATCCCTTTGGAAGAGATAGAGGCCCCGCCCCTGCACGGGCTGTGGGCCAATGAGTGTGTGTCAGACGCTCAGCCAGAGGACCCCTGGGCTGGAGGGCTGGCTTTGAAGCAGGAGCTGGAGAGGAGCGGGAGACGTTTCTCTGGATTGGAAGGAGCTGGGGAAACAGCTAACACAGAGGGTGATACTCTCACTTAAATAAGCCGTGGGTACTTTGAGCGTGCGTTTTGCAGAGCTGTGGGCGTCTGGATGGAAATACAAAATAAAGTTGCAGGGTCATGGATAGGAGAGTACAAATTTCCATTGATCCTTGTCACCTGCACAGCGTGACAAAAATGGGAGATCAATAGATTTCTCAAGTTATCTTGTTCCCTTGGAAATCCAGGGCTCTCTGGGGAAAGCATGATGAATGTGCCTTTCTGGTTTGTTTGCATCCACAATAGAATCCAAAGCCTGGAAAAACCCTTGTGCGACATCTAGCCCTGCCTGCTGTCTCTCACTTCGGTCTCTTTTGGCAGTGGCTTGCTGTACTAAAAGGCAGTGGGGTTTAAAATCAGGCACACCCGTAGAAATCATGTAAAGGCATTGGGATTGTTGCTCAGACTCTCCCAGCCTCATTTCCTTATCTGTAAATTGAAGATTTATTCACTCTATTTTATTCAACCAATACTTCTTGAGGGTTCACTGTGTTACCAGGCAATGTTCTAGGCTCTGTGGAAACATCAGCAGACAAGCAAAACAAAGATCTTTGTCATGTGGAGCTTTTCTGACTGTAGGGAATTCTGAAAATATTCAAGCAAACAAATAATAATACAATTTCAGATAATAACTTGTGTTGTGAGGGAAAGAAGGATATAGGACCATACACGCATAAGGCTGGGGGTGTTCTTTTATTAAGGATGGTCAAAGAAAAATTACATCAGGAAATGTCATTTGGGCTGAGGTCTGAATGATGAGAAGTCAGTCATAAAAGAGCAAAGGGTGATGCGCCTGGTTGGCTCAGTCGGTTGAGCGTCCGACTTCAGCTCAGGTCATGATCTCACAGCTGGTGAGTTTGAGCCCCATGTCGGGCTCTGTGCTGACAGCTCAGAGCCTGGAGCCTGCTTTGGATTCTGTGTCTCCCTCTCTCTCTCTGTCCCTAACCCACTCGCATTCTGTCTCTCTAAAAATAAATAAACATTAAAAAATTTTTTTGAAGAGCAAAGGGAAGTGCATTCCCAGCAAAAGTAATAGCAAGTGCAAAAGTCCTGAGGCAATAATGAGCTTGATGTGTTTCAGAAACATCAAGAAGACAAATGCAGGTGGGACTTAATGAGTGGACTTGCTTGAAGTGTCTGGTGGGGACCAGATCATGTAAATTTTTCCAGGATTTGATATAGCGTTTGGGTCTGATTCAGACTGCAGAGAGAAATCTTTGGAAAGTTTTGAGCAGGAGAATTAAGAAGGGTGAAGTATTAATAGGATGTAGGCAGGAGGCTGGTGCACTATTCTAAGTAAGAAATAGTAATGGCTGGGTTTACTATGGCAGCAGTAGATTTGAGAGATATCTGAATTCAGAAATATTTTTGCAAGGGATGGTACCTTATGTGGTTGTTGAGAAGATTAAATGAGAGTACTTATCTTAAAGCATCTTATCCTTAAGAGATGCTCACCAAATGTTAATTATTTTTTCCCTTTTGTTAAGTTGAATGATAAAACTGAGACGAAAGAGGTCAAGTGGCTTGTCCAAGAATAATATGTTGGTCACGATGGGGCAGTTTATGCTGCTGTAAGGAATGATATCTCAGTGGTTTAAAACAGCAACAATTTTTTTCTCACTACAAATTCGTCATTGGTCCCTAGGAGGGCCTGTCCCATGCTGTACTCACTCTGGGACTCAGGCTGATGGGATGATCACTATCTGGGACTTTGCTGATCATTGCAATAGAAAATGAGCTCTGGAAGGTCTCAGGTAATCATAAGCTCTAGTCCAGAAGTAAGTAATACATGCCACCTTTGCTCATAGCTCACAGCTCTTTGGCCAAGACTAATCATGTGCATCCACTCAAACACAATAGGGGCAGGAAGTGCTCTCCTACCATGTGCACAGAAGATGGAGAACCGGGAAAATTTGTGGAATAGCCTTAACAGTGACTTAGATAGCAAGTCATGACAGAGCCAGAACTTGAGCCCTCTCGTTCATGATGAGCTTTGTCGTTAAGATCACCATTAAGAAACTTTAATATATATTTCTGATAGAGTTTAAGTATTGGGATGCAGTATCTCATTGAGGTGCAGGGTCATTAAAATTATAAGGGTGAACAGGGGCGTGTGGGTGGCTCAGTCGGTTGAGCGGCTGACTTTGGCTCAGGTCATGATCTCCCGGTTTGTGAGTTTGAGCCCTGCATTGGGCTCTGTGCTGACAGCTCAGAGCCTGGAACCTGCTTCAGATTCTGTGTCTCCCTCTTTCTCTGCCCCTCCCACACTCAAGCTCTGTCTCTGTCTCTCTTTCTCAATAATATAATAAACAAATATTTCAAAAAAATTAAAAATTATAAGGATGACCAGTAGCAGATGTGAATTCTAGGCTGGGGAAGATACACACTATACAGGAAAACAAATTAAAGATTCAAAGACATATCTCTGTTGTGAAAGGTAGATTTAATCAAACAGAATGATGTCTAATAAGGGATGTGATAACAGGCTTGATGCAGGGAGATGATATAGAAGTGATAAAGGCATAGACTCTAGTGTAAGCTTGGGGTTCAAATCCTAGGCATTCCTCTTCCTAGCTGTGTGACCATAAGGAACTTCTCTAACCTCTGTGAGTCTCAATTATCCCATCAGCAAAATGAGTAAAATAGCAGTACTGCCTTTTAGGATTGCTGGTAGAGTGAAATAGTTCCTGATGAAATGCTTAATACATATTATTTAAAATAGTACAGCATTTTAAATAACTATGTAATAATAAGACATGTGATAAGATAATAATTTAATAATAAAAATGTATTTATTTGGGGGAGGTCAAAAAGACTTAAAGACTGGGAGATGTGGTTGGGAGTGTTACTGTGAAAAGGACTCCTCAGTTTTAATGAACTATCAGTACAGGAGAGCAAGTCAAAGTAGCCGCTAAGAAAGTATATGCACATCAATTCCCCAGCTCACCTGAGTCTGGATCTGCACCTTCTAGCCATGTGAAGATGGTGAGATTGATGAGGGGCATAGTATCCTGAAGGCAATGTTTGACGCAGGTTGGGAATGTTTTGCCTGAAGAAGACGGAAGTGGGATGTCGGGGTCACCTCCAAATATTTGACAACATATTTGGATGACACTTAAGGAAAGAGGGGAAGCACATGTATAGAAAACCCAAGGTAGCCACAACTGGGGGTCAATTTCCACTGGAATTTCCTGATAAGTAAATAGAAAACCTCTCAAAATTGTTCACCTCAATGAAAAGGAGCTTAAGTTTTTATCCACCAGTTTCTATCCCCCATTGTTTGAGGGCAGTAAATCCTTACATCTCTGAGGGGATGCTCATGGGTTGAACAAGCTTCCGTGTTGTCAGAGAAGGTTATGGGATAGAAATACAGCATGAACTTATGGCACACCTCCATCAGCAGAGGTAAGTCTGAGCGTGGACGGGGCTACTTTTTGTAGCTGTGGCTTGCATCAGGTGGGCCAGGGGGATGTGGCATGAAGGTACTGGTAGCATCTACTAAAATCTATAAAATTAAAAGAAAATACTGGCTG